CCTGGAACTGCTGTGTAGACCAGGCTGGCCTTGAAATCTCAGTGGTAGGATTAAAGGCACGCACCACCGCAATCGGCTTTTTAAAACAACAGCAACCACAGCCCATCACTTATTGCGTGTGAACAGTCACTGCATGCATGTGAGGTTAGACAACCCTTGGGAGTCCTTTCTCTCCTCCTGCCATGCGGGTGCTGTGCACCGAATTCCAGGCTTCACGTTTGGTGACAAGTGCCTTTACCCACTATGCTATCTGGCTGGCTTTATTTTGGAGACGGGGCTTTTCTGTGGAGCCCTGGCTGTCCTGGTTGTGCCTTACCACCATGCCTGGCTCACTGTCCCTTCCGGATTTGTGCTTTCTTTGCCTTCTCCACCCCCACATTTATTTTTAGCCATATTCCCCAGCATTTAGCCCAGTGCTGGCATAAAACAGCCAGATGCCCCTACTCCGGCTAGCACCAGGCATTTATTACTCATCAGATATGCGTTAATGTATATAACATAACCAATGTATATAACATAACCAATGTATATGATTTTCACTCTCAACAGAAGAGTAAACAGGGTCTCACAGAAGCAAACTGACTTACATAAAGTCAGATTGGTAGTAACTACTTATGCTCAAACCTGAATCTTTCTACACTTTGCCGCTGACCTGCCGCAATAAAAACTTGATGTCCTGAAGAGATTGGGGTGAGGCACAGTAAAACCCCCAAAGGCTGAGTCTGGACTATGATGGTGTCTCTTGCTGATTTTAGGGTTTTGGCAGCTTCTTGGAGATTTCAAGAGCTGATTGTCCCCACACCTGGTTTATCTAAGGCTGCTTTTGGAAGGGAATGCGTAACAGATACCAAGGTGAGCAATTCAGGCAATAAAAAGCCCCAGAGAGTAAACAGGGATTTCCATATCCACCTGGCAGAGAGGGCCGGGCAGCAGCGAGGCGGCTTTCCTTAAATGGCCTGGCTGAGCCTGCGACCTCACCGCCTACACTCCTCCTCCTCAGGAGAAACAAAGGCAAGGACCAATGGCAGACACTAGCCTCCTTCCTGGGAAGGCCTGCATGGGCCCCAGTCACAGGCATGAGTAATTAGGGGGAGAGTTTAGGAGGCTGGGGCGGGAGTGTGTATCTGATGATGTAAGGTGATCTAAGGCAGCTCCACGTTAGCTTTTTTCCCTGTCTGCACAGTTCTCAGCACATCCTTCAGAAAGGAGAGGAAAGGGGTGTTTCAGTCCAACAGGTGGATGTCTGGGAACTGGGTCAGTCCATCAAGTGACCAAAGCCCAGGCCCAAACTACAGGCCTGTTTGTCCTGTGAAGAAAGCTATGGGATGAAAAGCCATCAATTTAAAGGACTTGTCAGCTCTTTCTCTGTAGAGATGTAACCTGGACATTTGTCTAGTGTCTCCAGACAGGCGAAAGTCTCGTCACCTGGGTCTCTGAAAATTCCGTGCTAAGAAAAAGGAAAATAAGCGACACTCTAGAGAAGCAGCTTACACTAGACTTGGCAGCATTCAGGAGGCTGAGGCAGGAGGATCACCATGAGTTCAAGAGTAAACTGGGCTACGCTGTGAGTTCCACACCAGCCTGGGTTAGGCCTTGTCTCAATAAGCCACAAAGACGGTTTTATTCAGCAGCGCACAGACTAAAATAAATTGGGATGGGTCAGCGATTAGCATCGCCCCTGAACAGGGATAACATGAAAACCTGTGAAGAGCTTCGCATTTAAAAAAAAGAAAAGAAAACACAGAATCAGTTTAAAAACAAACAACAAAACCCAGCATGGTGGTGCACACTTTCCATCCCAGAGGTAGAGAAGCGGAAGCGGAAGACCACAAATTCAGCCATCTGCTACACATAAGTTCCAGGCCAGCCTGAGCCCCCAAATCCTTGTCCCCAAAACAAAACAAAAAGCAAACAAAAACCCCCAAACAACAACAGAACAACCAGAACTGGTGTCTGCTTCCTAGTCATCAAAAAACAGGCAGAGGAATCCCTGTGAATTCAAGGCCTGCCTGGTCTACAATAATGAATTCCAGGCCAGCTAAGGCTACACAGAGAGAACCTCTCAAAAACAAAAAAATGACAAAAACAGAACAAATAAATAAACAAACCTAATGAAAGAATATGCTTAGATAGTAACAGTTGGTTGTTTTTTTTTTTGTTTTGTTTTGTTTTGTTTTTTTTAGATTCTATAGTTTAGAAGCCAGTGAAAGAATCTACAAGTCTTGTGGGGCCTTTAATCCCAGCACTGGGGAAGCAGAGGCAGGTGGATCTCTGTGAGTTCAAGGCCACCCTGTCTGGAGGTGGTGGGGAGAATCTACAAGGCTGAAACTGTGCAGTCAAGCTCATGGGACACAGGGATGGTCCTTCATTCAATCAAACCCTATTTGTAACTTTTTAGACAGTGTCGGGTCTTATTTCCAAACTCCTGGGCAGCAAACTCTTCAGGAATCTGTATAGGAGAGCCTGGAGCGGAGCAATCCTCCATTTCCCCAGAGGTCCAAAGAGAGTGACACCATCTTCCTAAATCTAGGCAACTCAAGTCACAAAGCAGTTCCTGGGATATAAGTGTGATGTCTGGAAAGGCACTCTGACCTGCAGCAATTCCCCACTCCACTGGAGCAATTAGAGCCCTGGTGAGTAGCGATGGAGCCGCCCTTGGAAACTTGTGGGAAGCTGTGAGCAGGCTGCCCCTCTCTCCCACCCAAACCAACAGGTAGGCCCCCTCTACCTCCCACAAGGCACCTCCCCCTCTCAAGACCTCTGCCCTCAGTCTATTTTACAATGGACACAGGACGCAGTTTTCCCCAACAGGAACATATACCTAGCCTGTCCTTTCTCCCCCTCTTTTCTTTCTTGTTCTTTCTTTTGTTGTTGTTTTGTTTTGTTTTTGCTTTTTTTTTTTTTTAGAAAGAGTCTCATCTCACTCTGTAGCCCAGGTTAGTCTGGAACTCACTATATAAGACCAGGCTAACCTCAAACTTAGAACGTTTAGTAATCCTCCTGCCTCTGCCTCAGCCTCCCAAGAGCTGATTATAGGTGTGAATCACTACATCAAGACTCAGCTCTCACTTGCTTTCTTTCCCCTCACTCTCTCTTCTCTCTGTCTCTCTGAGAAAAGGGAACAAAAAAGAGAAAGACTAGTTGTAGAATCTTCGGGCAATACAGAAGCCAGTCAAGCCACACACACACACACACACACACACACACACCCCACACACACACATCGAGTTCCTCAAGGACTAGAATGGTGTTCACCCTCCAGAAGTTCTCATGTTCCCGTCAGGTAAATGGAGCACTTGCTCACAGCTGGGGTCAAGAGTGAATAAGTGGCATCATTAGTTATAAATGGTGTTATTACTGATAATGCAATGGTGTTAGTGACTGGTCACTAGAGCTTAGATGTGCAAAATAAAAGCCAGACTAGTGCCAAAGTGAGGCTATAATCCCAGCACTCCAGGGTCTGATGCAGGAGGATCAAACTGTGAATTTCAGACCAGCCCAATCCATACTGGTGACAAAGTGCCAGGCTAGCATATAGCAGGCCTTGGGTTTGACCCCAGCACTGCTAATGCACAAAGGTCATCCTAACTAAGACACAGCTATGTGTCATCCCACCATAGGAAAACAAAGCTACCAGCCCGTGGATTGGGGGTGCCTGCTATGTACTCATCTACTCCCATGTCTAACCCTGCACAGCTCACGACTGAGTGGTGCCTACCTCTTTCCAGAAGCACACAGGTAGCCCTGGAAACCGCCTAGGTCACCCACACTTCACTAGTCTGTCCCAAAGTGCCACTGAAGGGCCTCCTGAAATGCTCTCAGCAACCTAGCAGAGGCTCAGCATGTTCCTTGGGTAGGCAGCAAGTAGAGACAGGCTGGGAAAGCACTGACCACTCCAACCTCAGGGCTGCAGGACAGCACTGTCTTCCTCGGCCGTAGAAAGCTCCTCAGAACCAATCAGATCTCAGAAAAGCAAATACAACTAACCAATCAAGCTGCTATTTCTCTATAAAGCACATCACCAAACTTGGGCACAACTTCCAAAATTCCCAAAAAATCTTAGACACCATGATGATTGCTATAGATTTGGCAGGTGGCCTACGGCTGTAAGAACAAACTTGGTCAAAGTCTTCCCAGAAGGGATTCTGAGTGGCTCCTCCTCTTTACATTATTTCTTTCTTGTTTATCATGAGAGGAGGAGGTGGTTTCCGTACAAAAGAAGCACCTGGAAACTAGGGAAGACAGTTTAAAAAAAAAAAAAACTGGTCCTCTTTCCTTGTTCCCAGCCATGCCCAACAGGGAAACAAAGAAAATTCTAGATTATTGCAATGAGATAAGACCTGAAATATATTGAGTGTTTGCATGTATGAGTCAGAACTACCATCTTTTTCTTAAAGTAAAAAACGAGGCCAGCCGGATCTACAGAGCAAGTTCCACTACAGCCAGGGCTACACAGAGAAAATCTGTCTCGAAATACCAAAAAAAAAAAAAAAAAAAAAAAAAAAAAAAAAAAAAAAAGAAAGAAAGAAAGAAGGAAGGAAAGAAAGAAAGAAAACAATACCATTTTCATCTCTATGAGCAAAAGTCACAAGTCACTAAGAGCCTGTTCCAATAATGGGAGTCAAATCTCGGTTCTGATCCCTGCCGACCCTGTGAAGTCACCTTTTGAGCCTCCAATTGCCTATTAAATGGGAATACAGGCCAACTGGTCCTACCCAGCAGGTTTTGGCGGTCTGAAATGATAGGCTAGCTCCCGCAATAAGTTGGAGAAATACCGATAACCTCTAAATACCCTTGGCCCATCCTGGCCCCTATATAAATAGCACAGCCAGACACATCTACCTTGATCAACCACAATCGATAAATTTAGACTCCCAAACTTGCGTAAATCCCAAAGGAGAGTTTTGTCAATTCCATCCCACGGGCATGGGAGCACAGTTTGTCGGCGCCTCCCCCACCCGACCCAACTCTGCCCAGTTACACTAGCAGAGCGCCCTTACCTCTGCCCAGGGCGCGGCCTCTCTCCAGGTGCCTCCCCGGCACCCGGAACGTGTAGACCTCGGCACTGAAGCCGGGACGGCAGGGCTCGGGTTCTGCCTCCTGGCAGAGCAACGATGAGACCTGGGGTGGAGAAAAGGCAGGTAACCTGGTGACTTGGGGGAACCCATACCGATACCAACAACATAACCCTTCCCTCGCCTGGGGCATCGGGACTGTGGGTGGACGCCCCTCGCGGCAGACAGAGACGCCATCCTCTCAACCCGAAACCAGGCGCCAAACTTCAAGAACCTTTGGGGGAAGGGGACTTCCAGGGTCACCACCTCCCAGCCTAGACTACCTTTCCCACTGGTTCCATTTGCATCTCACTGGAGATGCCTATACTCTTCCGGACACCACTTTCCGTGGATCGCAAAGGGTCTCAAAAAACCCCACAGACTCCTCTTTCTTACTCCAGGGAGCCCCCATCCCCAGTCTACCGTCCCTTTACACGGCAGGTGCTTTTATGCTACTAAAGTCCTCCTTTCCTTTCGTCCGCGCTACTTCTACCCCCACCCCTTTTTCCTGCAGGCCCCCATCCTGTTCCAAGCCCCTCTGCCCGCCTCAAACAGGGTCCCTATGCTCAAACTCGGGGTCCCGGGAGCTCGTAGCGTGGCGCGCCCCCACCTGGGAGCCTGCGGGAGAGGCGGTCACTCTGTGCTTTCCTGGACCCCCCCCCCCACTCCACAGCACTCAGCCCCGCGTCGCGCAGCCTCCAGCTGGCCCTCTGCACCCCAACTTTCTTAGAAGAAGGAAATCAGGACGGCAGCAGGCAGCAAAGATCAACGAAGGGAGTGGTGGGGCCGAAAGGTGTCCTGCTGGAAGTCAGGACCCTCCAAGTACCTGCAGCAGAAGTAGAATCGCGGAGAAGCAGCGGCACGGGGCTCCCATGGCTGGCCGGGCGGGCGCCGAGCAAACACGGAGCTCGGGTGCGGTCAGGCAGGGACGGGTTAGGCCGGGCTGGAGTCTAGCAGAACTTCCCAAGAGCTCACGACCACACCGCTGCTCCCCTCTCCACTGAGCCAGGCAGAGGCTGTGGCCGCCAGGTGAGCCTAAAGGCACCGCCCCCGGCCCCACTGATTGGCTGAGGACGCACCTGCAGGTGGCAGCCAAGGAACCGCACGGCCCTTGACTTCCTCCACCCTTAACTGTAGTTGGTGGCATGGCCAGAGACTTCCTTGCTTCCTAGAACACGCTCTTTAGAATCTCAGCCCAACCGTGCTCTGGCCCACTGAAACTTTGAGTTATAAAGAACTTTACATCTACGTTTTTATTTCGCTTTTCTTTATTGTTTTTGGTTGGATGGGTTTGTTTGGTTTACTTTGTCTTAATGATTTTAAAAACAATGTAGCGTGTGTGTGTGTGTGTGTGTGTGTGTGTGTGTGTGTGTGTGTGTGTGCTCCCAAACGCACGTGCCACAGCCGGTGTGGCGATAAGAGGGTCTGGGGATTGGATTCCCATCATCAGCCTTTACTAACTGAGCCACCATCAATAGCTTGAACTTTTTTGGTTTGGGTTTTTTTTTTTTTTAATTTTTGTTTTCCAGCCCAAGCAGGCCTGGAACTGTCTTAGGTAGCCTAAGCAATCCTCCTGCTTCCGCTTCCCAAACACTGGGTTTGCATAAGTGAGCCACCGGGCCAGATTCATCTAATCATCTAATTTTCTAACATCTGCTGTCCCCCTCCCCTTGGAGACATGGTCTTGCTATTTAGGCCAGTATGGTCTGGAACTCACTATTGTCCAGTCTCAGCTTCCCCACTGCTGGGCTGGAACTACAGGTACCCACCACCATGCCCCACTAAAATCTGTTCTTTTATCTTCTCAGCAGGTTAGTGAGTCAGGGAGTAGATCCAAGGGATGAGAATCCCCTGGGGCTGGAAATACAGGCACTTTTTTCAGCTGCCCAACGTGGGAGCTGGAAACTGAACTCTGGTCCCCTGGAAGAAAAGCAAGCCTTCTTAACTCCTAAGTCATCTCTCCAGACCCTTGTTTGTCTGGTTATTGTTCATTTGTTTGCCTGAGGCAGGATCTATGTAGCCCTGGATGTCCTAGATTTCACTGTGTAGACCAGTTTGGCCTGGAACTCAGAGAGGTCCACCTGCCTCCCCTTCCCAAGTGCTGGGATTAAAGGCACGTGCCACTACAACAGTTTCAAAAAACTGTTTTTGGAAACAAATTCCTCTTAAGTAGCCCAAACAGGCTTTGAATTTAGAATCCTCTTGCATCAGCATCTTAAACGCTGGGATTACAAGCAGGCATCACTACACACACCAGTTTTTGATGTCAAACTGGAAGAGAAACTTTAGGCCCACTCAACTCTGCTATTTACCTACAACTTTCTTCACAACGTGTAGGAAGTAATAGACTAGAACTCAGAGGCTGGAGATGGCTCCGCAGTTAAGAGCACTAGCTGCCCCCCCCCCACAGAACCCGCACGGCAGTTCACAACTGTGACTCCAGTTCCAGGAGATCTGACACCCTCACACAGACACACATGCAGGCAAAACACCAATATACCTGAAATATAAATAAATTAAAATAAAAAGGATGAACTCAAGCTTTCCTGCTCCATAGATTGAAGCTTTTGCTTGTTTGCTTGTTTGTTTGTTTGTTTTTCAACCATGGTTTCTCTGTGTATCCCTGACTGTCCTAGAACTTACTATGTTGACCAGGCTGACCTCAAACTCCACCTGTCTCTGCCTCCCTGGTGCTGGGATTAAAGATGTGCACCATCACTGCCTGGCTAGATGGAGACTTTTAACACCATAGCCGTAACACGTGCACCACCGCTTTCTGCAGAGGATTCTGTCTGTGGCACAGCATTTTAGGGTCAAAAATAAGACAAACATTAGATCGGACAGTTTCCCTGTCTGCCTGTCCTGCCATGTCGGGATGGCTTGGGTACATGCTAACAAAGGCACCTCTCGTCTTATGCTCCAGGTTTTGACAAAACTACAAAACAGAGGTTGGGGGGCTGGAGAAATGGCTCAATGATTAAGAGCACTGACTGTGCTTCTAAAGGACCTGGGTTCAATTCCCAGCACCCACATGGCAGCTCACACTGTCTGAAAATCCAGTTCTGGGGGGTTTAACACCTTTATACCAATGCACATAAAATAAAGTTAAATAAATCAGAAAAAAATTAAAATTAAAAAGAAAAATCACAATTAAAAAAGAGGTTGGGATGGGACTCAGTTTATAGAGTACAAGCCTAACATGAATGGAGCCCAGGATTCCACCCTCGCCACTCTAGAAACTAGGAATGGTGGTAGCCTGCTATAATCCCAGCACTTGGAAGGTGGCGGCAGAAAAACCCTAACTCCGGAGCCATCCTCCTCGGCTGCATACTGAGTTTGAGCCCTGAGAGTCTCAAACAAGCAACCAAAAACTACAAAACAATGTTCTTAAAGTCACAGCCTGTGTGACCTTAGGCAAGTTAGTGTCCTCGTCTGTGCAAATGAGCCCAAAGCCAAAACAATCATGTGAGAGTTATGCCTTTGAAAGGCCTAACCCTATCTCCCCACCCCAGGGAACGGTCCAACCCTATCGCCCCACCCCAGGGGACAGTCAGGTTTACAGTATTTCCCATGAAGCTAATGGTAAATCTGAGCCCACAAAGAGGGCAGCTTCATCTGTAGAGGTGCTGTCTCTAACCCACATAACCCACATTGTCTCTGCCAGCCCTCCCCCAGGCGAACTCCTCCATTTTAATGGCTTTCCAAGCTCACACCCAGCAGCCTTTTGGATTTCCGCTTCTTGGCTCCCTCTAGCCCACCAGGAGGCTCAGAGGGAGAGGGCTCTGGTATTTTCTTTCCCACTGAAGCTCCTGCCCAGTTCAGGGCACTGAACAAGATAATGGAAATAAAGAAGCGTTTTCTTCCATTGAGCAGCCTTGTCGTTTATTTTTTTTTCCTCCCAGTTATGTAAAAATACATATTTTATATCATTGCTGGGTGCAGGGAGTCTTTGGGGCTTTGATTTCTTCTGCCAAGCAAACATTGGCTTTGGATTCCTGACGACTCTCATTGACTCTTCCATTACACTCTGATAATTCAATAAAGAGGATCTTCGACAATCAAGGGCGGTATGGACGGGTCAGTCTGAAGCACTTTTCTTTTCAGGCCTGATGCATTGCTTCAGATTGCTTATCAAGTACTTCTCTAGGCTTCGGAGAGGGTCAGAAAGGGCCACTCCTCATCCCCTCCCCCCCACACACACACCCGAGCAGAGGAGAACACAAAGCAGCTCCCTATACAGTTGGGGCTCTGTGAGGCAGTGAGTTTCCACTCTTCTGTCAAACAGGCATCGACCTCAAGTGTGAAGATCCTGAGTCGGTACGTAGAGACTGCAGTGTGGGAGCTCCTAGTCTGTATTTATTAATCCACAAAAGGGACGGTGTCCATTGGAAAGCTCAGAAGGTTCTTAGGAGGTAGTTGTCTTGTGGTAGGGCCTCTAGCCCAGGATGGCCTCATACCAACTATGTAGGTGAAAAGATAAGCCTCCGTTTCTGATCTAATGCTGGGATTTCAGGTGCAGGCCTTTGTACCAGACTTGCCAGGCTGACAGGAATGTGCGGGAGCCCGACGCTGGGCCCTGGGTTGAATGTTAGGGAAGCGCTCTACAAATTGAACTGGACATCCCCAGCCCTCAGAAGATTGTCCTACATATTCTATAGCAATGTCATTGTTAGGGGAAACTGAACCCATAACACAGACTATGGATAGCTATATTCATAGCCCTTTTTGTACTTTTTTTTTTTTTTTTTTTTTGAGACAAGGTCTCAACTAGTTGACCAGGCTAGCCTTAAACTCACTCTAGCACAGAGAGGCTTTGAACTTGTGACCATCCTTCCTGAGCATCAACTGAAGGCTACCGGCTTGAACCACCAGGCCCGGGCTGGCTATGCAACACCCCTCAGCAACAGTCTAGAAAAACAGTCTGTGAGGGAAGAAAACCAAACCAACACAAAACAAAAATGTGAGCACCCTGGGAACCTCCCAGCTCCAGGATCTCTTTACCCCACCCACTAGAAAAGCCTCTGAGGCTATCAGTGACCTGGGAAAAAACTTTTACTTTTACACAATCCAGCTAAGCACCGAGAACTTCTCAGGGTCATTTGCATTTTAAAGAGGGTGCTGAAGGCTGAATTAGCTGCTTTCAAAGGAAAGAAATCCTCAGAGCTAGTCCAGGGGACCAACCTGATGGGTTGGGTGGGCTGTGAGGAGGGTCTGTGGTTGCATCCAATGCTTCTTAACTCGGGAGGAGAAAAAAATAAAATAAAATCCAGAGATCAGGATCCTGGGAATCTCAAGCACTAACAGGGAGATCACTCTGGGAAGATTGACAGGCTGTCCCACCCTGGATGCAAGGCACCCAGCCTTCAGTGGATTGTAAACTGTAGGCTCCTTCATTGCGCACTTGGGCTGTGGCTGATGGACTTTCATTTCCTGGACGCCCTACTGGTCAGCAAGGAGGCTAATGATTAACCACCTGAGCCGTCTTGGTTTCCGGCCCCAGGATTGCAAAAACACTAATGGCTTCTCAGGTGTAATGGCACAAGCCTTTAATCATAGCATTCCAGATACAGAGGCAGGCAGATTTCGGTGAGTTAGGCCAGCCTGGTCCATACAGACAGTTCCAAGCCAACCATGGCTACACAGTGAGTCCTGGGGGACGGGGCATGGTTACTTGCATATAAACAATGAACAGTCTCTTTATGGAAGTCATCTCCAAATTACCTAATACAATGTAGATGCTGTACATTGTATATATTGTCCTGGAACTCACTATACAGATCAGGCTGGTCTTGAACTCACAGAGATCCACCTGTCTCTGCCTCCCAAGTGCTGGGATTAATGCTGTGTCTTTACTCCCAACTTTCAGATAAAATTTTTAATTTTACTTTATCATCCTTTTCTGTTTTGGATAAAATTTTTATTACACATAGCTATCTATCTACCTACCTGACAGATTGCAGAAGTAGATTCTATTCTACCCTGTGGATCCTGAGGCTTGAGCTCTCTCATTGGGCAAACACCTTTACCTGCTGGACCATCTCACTGGTCCAGATGCAGTTTTTAAACATGTCTATGTGCGTGGTGTGTGTGCAGTTACAAGTGCACTGTGTTCGCATGGAGGCCAGAAGTTGACACATCAGGGGGCCTTCTTCAATTGGTCTTCACTTTATTTACTCAGGTCTCTCAATGAACGCAGAGTTTGACCATTCTGACTAGCCCAGGAAGTCAGCTTACTCTTTGGCTTCCTGC